CAGTCAAGCTTCTCCAATGAGTTAGTTCTGCCAGCAAGTGTTTATTGCACACCTACTACATGCCAGGCACTGTGTTGGGTGCTGGAGAGTCAGCCGTGAACAGAAGAGACAAATCTCTACCCTCCATGAGTTTATCTTCTGGTAGGGGGCAGGGACAATAAACAAATATATCAACGTGAACCCTGGCCGGCTTTGCTCAGCGGTTAGAGAGTCGGCCTGCGGTCTGGAGAGACCTGGGTTCGGTTCCCCCTGAGGGCACGTACCTCGGTTGCAGTTTTTCCCTGGCCCTGGTTGGGTCGTGTGGGTGGCAACCACTCGATGTGTCCCTTTCACGTTGATGTTTCTCTCTCTCTCTCCCTGCCCCCCACCCCCCAACTCTATCTGAACAAAATATAGAAAAATGTCCTCAGGTGAGGATTTAAAAAAAAAAAAAAAAAAGCAAGAACCTACAACCAAGATTACTCAATCCTGCAAAGCTGTCATTTAGAATTGATGGCCATATAAAGAGTTTCCCAGACAAGGAAAAGCTAAAAGAGTTCATCACCACCGAACCATATAAAATGTTGAAGGATCTTCTTGAAGAAAAAGATAAAAATATATATATATATACATATATATAAAAAACAAATATACCACCATGTATATCAATGACAGTGATAGGTGCTGTGTGGTGAGATGATGCGAGATGGGGGATACAGAGTGACTGGGGGATTGGTGGCTATTTTAATTTATTTAAAGGTTCTTTGCATTTCAATAAGCATTTTATTTATTTATTTGTTTCTTAATCGTCACCCAGGGACTTGGGGAGAGAGAGAGAGAGAGAGAAAGAGAGAGAGAGAGAGAGAGAGAGAGAGAGAGGGGGAGTGTGAGGGGGAGATAGAGAGAGAGACATCAACCAGTTGTCTCCTTGACCAGAGATTGAACCTGTAACCTGAGTATGTGTCCTGACTGGGAATCAAACCCTCAACCTTTGGTGTATGGGACAATGCTCCAACCAACTGAGCCACACCAGCCAGGGCGATTGGTGGCTATTTTATTTTTTTAATCCTCACCCGAGGACATTTTTGCATTTATCCTCAGACACAGCAGGAGGGAGAGAGGGGGGAAGAGACAGAGAGAAACATTGACGTGAGAGACACATCGACTGGTTGCCACCCACACAACCCCAACCAGGGTCGGGGACAAACTATAACCAAGGTGCATGCCCTTAGCAGGAACTGAACCCGGGACTCTCCGGTTCTCCGACCAACACTCTAACTGCTGAGCCAAACCTGCCAGGGCTTGGTGGCTATTTTAGATAGGGGGTCAAGAGAGTCCTTGATGAGGGTGTAACATTTGAGCAAAGACCTGAGTGAAGTGAGATAATCCGAGAAGATCTGGGGGAAGAGGATTCCAGTTTCAGCATGTGTCCTGCCGAAGCAAGCACCAGAAGAGGATCCCAGGTTAAAGGAACGCCAAATGCAGACAAGCACGAAATACCTGCGGAATGGCAAGAAGGCTCCAGGGCTGAATGAGCAAGGTGCGGGGCAGAGGGGCACAGGCTGACCAGACATCCGGAGTGCCCTGCACTGTCCCTGCATAGTTACCAGTATTTTCTCCTTTCACTTCCAAAGGTGCCCAGGTTTAGATGATAACTTTTTTAGATGATACAGTCACCCTACACAGAGGGCAGGGGAAGCAGTTGGCATTTTATTCTCAGTGTGATAAGAAGCCTATAGATGGTTTTAAGCAAGAAGTGATATGATCTGACTGACATTTTAAAGGATTATGACCAAGTACTCAAAACACTGGCTCCTCCACCTCCCTGGCTGTTCCCTCCCAGTGTCCGCTCACAGCTCTCTCTCTTCTGCTCAACATCTAAATCGGAGTTTCTCTAGACCAGTGGTTCTCCACCAGGGGTGATTTCTCCCCCAGGGAACATTTGGTATTATCTACAGACATTTTTTAAATTGTCGAAAGTATTATAGATGTCCCCCATCCCCATTTCTAGAGACATTACTAATTGTACAACTGAGGCAGGTACTACTGGCATTTAGTGGGTGGAGGCTGGAGACACTGCTAACTATTCTACAATGCACAAAACAACTCCACACAGTATAGTTTTCCAGCCCAAATGTCAATAATGCTGAGGTTAAGAAATCATGCACTAGATTAGCACAGTTCAGTAGAAATAGAATGGGAGCTGCATAAACAATTAAAGAGTTTCTAGTAGCCACATTAAAAATACTAAAAAGAGCCCTGGCCGGTTTGGCTCAGCGGTAGAGCGTGGGCCCACGGACCAATGAGTCGCAGGTTCAGTTCTGGCCAAGGGCACCTACTTTGGTTGGGGTTGTGCCAGAAGCAACCAGTCGATGTGTCCCTCTCGTGTCAATGTTTCTCTCTCTCTCCCTCTTGCTCCCTCCCACTCTATCTGAAGATAAATAGAAAAATGCCCTCAGGTGAGGATTAAAAAAATAAAAATACCAAAAAAGAAAACAAGTTAATTTCAATAATATTTTTAGTTAAATCCAATATGTATAAAATATCATTTCAATATGAAATCATTATTAAAAATATCGATGAGATCTTTTCTTTCTTTCCTTTAAAAAAAATATCTGGTGTGTAGCTCACATGGACTACACATAGCAATTCAGACTAGCCACAGTTTAAGTGCTTAGTAGTTGCGTGTGTCTCATGGCTTTGTTTTTTTTGTTTTTTTTTGTTTTTTGTTTATCCTCACCCGAGGATATTTTTCCATTTTTTTGTACAGATAGAGTGGGAGGGAGAGAGAGGAAGAGAGAGAGGAAACATCGACGTGAAGGGACACATCGAGTGGCTGCCACCCGCACAACCAACCAGGGCCGGGGACAAACTGCAACCGAAGTACGCGCACTTAGCGGGAACCGAACCCGGGTCTCTCCGGACCGCAGGCCGACGCTCTAACCGCTGAGCCAAACTGGCCAGGGCTGTCTCATGGCTTTGTATTGATGGCATGGCTCTAGGCTCAGAACTAGATAACATAGCCTCATGTTTAAGAGCTGTATAAGGTAATAAAGCCTAATGGTTTGGTTCTGGAACCGAACTGCCTTGTTGACTTCCAGCCCTTCTGTTTACTACCTGCCCATCTTAAGTAGAGTCACTCCACCTCTCTGTGCTATTCTCATCTGGAAAGTGGGGATAATAATATTACTACTTTATAGTGTTTTCAAGGATTAAATGAGTTAACACTTACAAAACAGTGACAGGTGTTTTAACGGTATTGACAAAATGTTAACTATTCAGGTGGGCCCCTCCTCTGTCTCCATCCACACTTTCTCTCTAGGTAATCTATCTACTCCAGTAGCTTTAAGTGCCACATCTTACCTATGACAATTCCAATTTAAATATCCAGCTTAGACCTCTTTTCTGAGCTCCAGACCCCCTATGTAACTGTGCACCCCATTTTAATGACCAAGGGCATCTCACATGAACATACCCACAGCCCTTGACTCTCCCCTGCTAATCTGCTCCACTGCAGCCTTGCTGTCTCAGTCAGGCACACAGGGCAGATTTCTCGGGGGCAGGTTGATTTCTGCTTTTCCAGGGAATGCATAGTGCGTGGGTTGTGCAACTTCTTGCTCGAGATTTCCACTCCACTGGTGTGTGCCTACAGAAGTTATGTGAGTGCTGAAGGCGTTTGTAAGAAGAGTCCATAGGTGTCCAGAGGAAGCACAGGCTGTGGGTAATGACTGCTCATACCAGCTGTGTATCAGTGTGTGTCTGTATGTATGTGTTTGTGTACTTGGGGTCGTGTCTGTGGACACATGTGGAAGAGGGCATGGGAATGTTCTTTCCCACCACCATAATCAAGTGTCCCTGAGCAGGTCTTGCTGTGGAGTGAAGGTGCAGTCATTCCCAGACGACCAACCCCATTCTCCAAGTGAAGGGGTGGCGTCCTCTGGGTCCTGGTGGGTGAGTCAAAGGGAAGGACTTCTCTGACCTGCCACATCAGGCCCACCTTCCCATCTCCTTCTCCCTCCTGTGAAGTCCCTTTCTAGGATGCTCCCATCTGCTTCCTTCTGAGCCTTGGGGGCTTCTCTGAGGTACTGGCCCATGAGATGGCAGGTGAATCTCAGAATCTTCTGAGCACCCCTCTCTAGGGGCTGGAGCACCCACTGAGTGAACAGTGTGGTTTGTTGGGGGTAGGCTGGAGGGTGCCAACTTGCCCCATTTTGAGACCTGCTTCAGAATGACCCTCTCCTGGTGCTCTTGGCCTCCCAGGACAGCTCGGAAGTTGGCCAACTGAGAACTAATTCCCAGAGACCCCGCCCCCCCATCCAGTCAGGTCTTCATGGACCCTGGCCAGAGCCCGTCCTGCTCTAGTGGTGCAGCCACATTAGCTGTCCCTCTAGGGGATGACAGAGCCTCTCAGAGGTCTGACTACACCACCCACTCTCTGGCGCGGGCGCGCGCACACACACACACACACACACACACACACCCCATTTGGTTGACCCCTACGGGAGAAGCTGCTGGGGGATTCTTGTCCTGGATCAGGCCACAGCCATCCCACCAGCCCTCACCAAACCAGACTTGTCGGTCGCCCCCAGAACCCCAAGGCCGGAGCCGGTGGGGTCAACCTTTGCACAGCTGGGGGCATCGTGGAGCGGCGCCTGCAAAGACGGGCAGCGCCCGGCGCAAACTAGGGACAGACCGGGACCCCTGGCTTTCCCAGGAGGCGTCCAAGGGCACCTGCCAAAGGCCACCCAGAGCGCGGCGGCCGAGGCGGCAGAGCCGAGTCGGACCTCCCAGCCGTCGGTGGGGGCGGTGACCGCCCGGGGCCTTCCCACGGCTCGGCCGGCGCGTCACCGCGGGGGCGAGGGGGCGCCGAGCCGCCGGGGGCTGCGGCGCAGAAAAAGGCCCTGGGAAAGGGCGGTGGCGGCACCCCGGGGCGGGGCCGGGCCGGGGCGGGGCGGGGCGGGGCGGGGCGGGGCGGGGCCGACTTCCCGGCCGGGAGCCTGCACTGCCCGGCGGAGACCTGGCAGCCTGCGCTCCTCATGAAGCGGCCTAGGCAGCCGAGTGGCTCCGACGGGGAGTCCGACGGACCCATCGACGTGGGCCGCGAGGGCGAGCTTAGGTAAGGAGCGGGGTGGGGGACAGAGCGCGCCGACGGGCTCCGCAAACGCGGAGACCGGCCCTCGATGCGGCCTCCGGAGACGCAGGTGTGAGTAGGGGGCGGGGGAAGGAGTGCAGTGTGTGCCATTACACGCTCGAGGGCCTGGGTCCTGTGTGCCCTCGGCCAGGTAGGGCTCGGGATGCAGGGATGGAGGTAGCGTTCAGCTCATGGGTCTGATGTCTCCTTGATGATCTCTTTCTGTTGAAGTGCCCAAGTGAGGCTATTGGCGAGGAGTTTTCCCTGAAGCTCTTAGGAAAAACCCTCATAGATGGTTGGCACCCCCCCCCCCCCCCCCGTCCAGAATCTGTTGACTATGCAGAATAGCCTTCCTTTCCCAATTTCACCCTAATTTGTGTGCACTTTGTATATAGTACACAGAAAGCCTCTATGGGAAGAAAGACTTCTGTCCCTTGAACAAATTGGGCTTTGAATATGGTTTTGATATTGCAGAAAATAATAGCTGACTTACTGGTGGTCAGTGCATGGGCCTAGGCGCCAATTCCAGTGCCCTTTCTACTGCACCACCTTGCTGCTAATGCCTTTCCGCTCTTGGTAAATATTCCGACCTGCTTCAAACCTGTAGAACAAACTGCACAGGGATAGTTCTGCTACTTCCCAGTTCTGTGAACAACCTAAGTTTCAGTTGCCTCATCTGTAAAATGGGTATAAATAATAGACCCAACCTCATAGGAATATTGGGAAAATCAAATGAAGTAGTATATGTCAAGAGCTTAGCACAGGGCCTAGGGTGTAGCAAATGCTTAATTAGTGTCAAGCACCCAATACATGATAATGAGAACCCTGAAAGAGCAACAGGGGCTGACTGTGAGTCTGAAGGCCTGTATCCCAGCCCCAAATACGCCACCAATTCACCATGTGACCTTGGGCCATTGCTTTCCCTTCGTGAGCCTGTTTCCTCAGCAGTAAAATAGGGAGGACAGAAAGGGCTCTCTCATCTCTCCCGACTCATCCAAATCTGACTCTCTAGAATAGAATTGGAAGGGGTGTGCAGTTTATTCTTAGGGATGTTTGTGAGGGCATTTCATAATTTCAATGATCTCCAGTCTCTGAGACCAGGGGATCGTGCCTCAATCACAAATCCTAGTAAAATGCCATCAGCTTTCAATTATTTATAGCTTATAATTGTAAATAAGACAATATATAGTTCTTGCATACTGTACATTAGGTTTTATAATATAATTGTCTATGCAACTTAGTAGGCTTTTTAAGTTGTCTAGCAAAAACCACTCTTTAGAGAAGTGATTCTCTGAGTCTGCCTGCTAGGAGCAGGCAAAGGGCCCAGCACCACGTGGTGGTGATAGGGTCGGGGGGTGTCTCAAATTCAATGTCATTGGGTCTTCACGGAATTGATACCAGAGAGCTAGGCTGATCAGAGCTGGCTTCTGTCTTTCAAGAATATGCAGCCTGGCCAGTGACCTGCCAGGTCACACAAAGACCATGGACAGCATGGAAGATGGAAGGAGAGACAGACTGTGGGCTGTGAAGGCACCCAAACAGGTAGAGGTCACTTATAACCAGAGGTGGCAGGGAGGGCTTCTTGAAGGTGGTGGCATTGGGCTGTGGCCTAAAGGATCAGTGGGCAGTTTTTCCCTATGTAGCATCTTGTTCTTTCAGCCAGAGCCCATTTTGCGAGACTATCTCAATTCTTAGAGGAGCAGACCCCATCAGAGGAGAGAAAGCAGTTGGACATCTGGCAGAGCTGACTTATAGACCCCTCTTTGTAGCACTCACCAAAAGGCCCTCCCCCCAGCAGACATCAATGCTTCAATTCAGGGATCACTGAACGATGCCTGCTGTGGCCCAGACCCTGGGCTGGCTATGGGGGACCCAGATGTATCCTGCTCAGCCTCTGCCCTCAGGGAACTCTCAGAGAAGAAGAGCTTCATGTACAAAGACAGCCAGATAAACAGTGGCAAGGGCCATGGGACTGGGGCAGCCAGCCTCCCTGGGGGTCAGAGGCAGGGCGCAAACCCCCCACACTCAGAGATGTGAGAGTAAAGAGCAGAGTGTGTTCCATGTCACCGTGAGCATCTGCCTGGTGGTGGTATCCTGCCTCTTCCGTGGGACTCACCCACAGAGCTCCTATCTGAACCCAGTCCCCGGACACATGCTGGGACTGAACTGAGAATATAGCATCTCCCTTTCCCTTCTGCAAACATTTAATGAGCACCTGCCACATGCCAAGCACTGGGTCAGAGTCTGTGGACTGTTCCTACATGATTTAAGGCACATGGCAGCCTTTGAAGTCAGATGGACCTGAGTTTGACTCTCCCCACCATTAACTTGGGCATTTCAGAACCTCAGATTTCTCTCTTACAAAATGGGGATGCTAATACCTACCTCACAGCATGAGGCTTTGAGGAAATGATGAAGTAATGAACCCAAAGCATATCTCCCTGCTTTGACACAAGCCAATTAATGCTGCCCTCTAAGGGGTTGCCATTCAGTCGGAAGAAACATGTTCATGAGGCCACATAGTCTAATGAAAAGACTTCTACTGAAGTCTGAAGACTAGACTTACTGGACATGATTCTTCACTCTGTGTCTCTGTCACTCCATCTTCAAATGATTATCTTTCCTAAATATGAAATGGTCCCAATAATAGTTAACTCCCAGGGCTATTGTGCAATAAATGAGACAAGTGAATGTAGACGTGCTGTTTAGAGCAAAAAGTACTGGCTATGAAATGTACAAGTTGTGACAATGACTCTGTGGGGAGCAATGGGAACAGCACTGGATTAAAAGCCAGTAGATTCTAAATTTCCTCTAATTTGCTGTGTGGCCTAGAGCAGATCCCTTGCCCTCTCTGAGTTTCCTCCTTTAACCAGTGGGCTCAGTGCTGTCTGAAATCCCTTTATTGAGGACATTGTGGTTCTGCCTTTGGTTGATGCAAAATGAGTGGGATTATCTACAAAGGCTCCACAGGGGAGTTCCCAACAGGAAACTGAGGGTGGTCAGGATCGGCAGCCAGACCACCTAGAAAACTGCCCCCACTCCAAGAGACCACCCCATAATTCTGGCTAGGGACCACTCAAGGTCCATGAAGCTGATCTTGGTGATCAACATGTCTTCTCTGGGTCCTTGAAAATGTGCCTCGTTTTCAGACCCTCAGCCAAGAAGCTCTCACACCTCCTCCCTGTCAGTGTCAGGGCCAGATCACAGTGGAAGTGAGTGCAGGCTGAGCTCTTGGGAGCATTAAGGATAAGGGGACTGGAGGGCTATTCAGACACAGGAAATGGGAATTAAGAAAGAAAACAATGCTGAATTTAGAGCCAGAAGACGTGGATTCCCATGCGGGCTTCGCTCCATAGCAGCTGCATAGGCTGGGCAAGCTGCCTCATCTCCTGAGCCTCAGCATCCTCCTCTGTAAAGTGGGGCTTTTGTTGGGCTCACAGGAGGGATATGTACATAGTGATGCCAGGAAAACTGAAGTGAGGTTTGCATGTGAGATATGGGAATAGGATAACGCTGCAGCGAACAAGGGACCAGGAGACTAGAATAAGGGGTGGCAGAGCCACCTGCCCTGAAAGGGGTACGTCAGTCTCCAACAGATGGTCCCAGAGGAGGGATCAGACTCAGAGGCAGTGACGTGGGCAAAGCTAACCCAATACCCCTAGAGACGCCTTATCCAGCCTGGGGGGACAAAGGCTGTGTTTCTTAGCATACCTTGGCCCTTGGGGCTTGTCCTCAGTGAAGTTCTGTAAACAAGCTGCCCTACAGATCTCAGGATCTGGCCATCTGTTCCCTGAACCTAGCATGCTGGGCCATTCCTCCCAGGAGCTTTCGCTGGTCTCTTACCAACCCTTCTTGTCCAGATGTTTGGATGGAGATATCCTTTTCCAGATGTGGCTGCACAAAGCTAGGGTGTAGCAGCAGAATCCGACAAATGTTGATCTGGTCTCTCCTGCAATCTTTGCTCTTTGAGCAGATGATGAAAACTATCCAACCTCTGATGCCAAGATGGGGGCCTGGACCTTCCTGGTGAGCCACATATGCCCCCATTCCACAAAGGCCTAGGACAATAATGCCAAAGACGGGGGCAGGAGGGAGCTCAACCATGAGCTCTGCCATGTTCCAACCACTTGCTGAGTATGGGGGCTACAGTAGTGAATGAGACAGACATGGGTCATGAACTCCTGGAGCTCAGGGACTTGGAGAGACAGACATTAACCAAACAATCATGTAAATATAAAACAACAAAGGGGCCTAACTGCTGTGAATGCAGGATGCTGGGGGAGTGTGGAGTGTGGCATACCTAACCTAGTAGGAGGGGGCATGTCAGAAAAGGCTTCTCCAGGAAGGTGACGTTTGAGTTGAGACCTGAGGGTGGTATAAATGATCAGGCAACAGGGCTGGAGCTTGGGGGTGGGGAGACAGGGTGGGCCAGAGAATTCTAGGCTAGGGGAACAGTATGTGCAGCCACAGGAAGGAGTTAGTACATTCACAGGCTGGAACTCGTAGAACAAAAGAGAATTGAGTCTAGGAGGTAACAGAGGCCAGCTGGGCCACCTGAAAGATGGTGGCCTTGATCCTAAAAGCTCTGGGAACCCCCTGAGGAATTTTAAGAGAGTGACAAAATCAGATTTGCATGTAAACAATCACTCTGGACCCGCAGACCCCGTCCTCACCCCTCCCCTGCAGACCCTGTCCTCACCCCTCCTCCCACCCATGGACCCTGTCCTCACCCCTCCCCTGCAGACCCCTTCCTCACCCCTCCCACCCACAGACCCTGTCCTCACCCCTCCTCCTACCCATGGACCCTGTCCTCACCCCTCCCACCCGCAGACCCCGTCCTCACCCCTCCCCTGCAGACCCCATCCTCATCCCTCCCCTGATAGAAAGAAAGAAAGAAAGAAAGAAAGAAAGAAAGAAAGAAAGAAAGAAAGAAAGAACAATCACTCTGCTTGTAAGGGGTAACAAGTGGGTTGCAAAGGGGCCCAACAGTAGACTCTTGCAGTTGTTCGATGAAGAGGCTCCGTCTTGAGAGCTGCAGTGGAGATGAGGAGGGCAGAGATGAGATGTATTTCAGGTTTTGGGGAGGTGGTGTGAGGACTGAGGAGGAATTAAAGACGGTGTTCAGGTGTCCCCCTTGTAAAACTGGAAGACAGTGGCTTTGCTGAGATGGAAACCCAGGAGGATGGGGTTCCGGTTCAGATGGGCATCATTTTGCATTTGAAATGGTAGTGGGTTCACCTTGTCTAAGGTTATTTGTGGACCTGGTGTCTCTCCATGAAAGCTGAGCATCTGGAGGGTGGGGCCTGGCTGACCCATCCAGTCCAGCCCTGGGCCTGAATGGGACCTCTAGGGTGCTGGCCAAATGAATGGTCCTCAGTGCAGCTCGGGAATCCCCTCCATTCCAAGAGAAACCGTTAAGAGGGCGAGCAGTTGGGCTGGGGAGATTTCGGACAGTCTGGGCAGGAAAAGCCCAAGGGCTGAGCCTCTTCCCTGTGACGGAAACTCCTGGGGTGCGAGCAAACATCCCTCCTTTAGCCGGGCCTTCGGAGGGAGGCGACTAATGCAGGTCTGCGGAGGCCAGAGCAGTGTCCCGAGAGTCCGAGAGGGGCCTGTGACCCAGATGCGGCTTCCCCTAGCCCCCAGCCGTGCTGCGTGGGAGGTGGCGGCAGCTGCAGCCTGGGCGGAGGGCAGGCAGCCGGCGCGCCCGGCCCGTGGGAAGCAGCGGCATCTGCTCTTTCCACGCTCGTTCCCAGCGGCTCCCTCTGAAACCCAACCCGCCGGCCGCCCCGCCGCCCCTGGCCCGTGCCCTCACCCGCCCCGCCCGAGGATCGGGTTGCAGGAGCCAGAGTGGCCCGCGGAGGTTCCGATGCCCGCCCTCCAGCCTGCCGGCGGCGAGAGAGAGGAGCATGGGGCAGGGGCAGAGGCGAGAACTGAGCTCTCCTCGACCCGGAGCTGCCCCCCACCCGGGGGGGCAGTTAACCCAGTGCAGGGAAAGACTTGGCCCCTTGGCCCAGGGAGAAGTGGGCCTTGGGGAGAAGGGGAGAGAATATGTTCCCTCCCACGTCTGCCCTGTGCTTCCTCCCGGCTTGGGAGACCGCAGCCGCCCAGCAGGGGGCTGTGCTCGCCCCATGAGGTCACCCCAGGCCAGGGAGATGGTCCTCCAGCTCTGAAAATTTTGTCTTTCTCTTCCTCTGCCTCTCCAGCCAGATGGCCAGGCCGCTGTCCACCCCCAGCCCTTCGCAGATTCAAGCCAGGAAGAAACGCAGAGGGGTGAGCGTCTCACTAGAGTTGCCCAATAGAGGTTTACCCTGGGTCCCTGGGGGCCTAGCCAACAGAAACCTGGTCAGAAACATCACCCCAAGCTAGATCGCCTGGGTTCAAATCCTGGCTCTGCCAGTAGCTAGCAGGATGACATTGGGCAGGACACCTAACCTCTCTGGGCCTCATTTCCTCAATTCTGTAACTGAAATAATGACAGTATCTACCTACCTCAAAGTGTTGTTTATCCCAGCCTTCCTCCTCTTCTTTCTGAGCCCAAAACTTTCATTTTTTATGTGTGCCGAGGGGGGAGTAAGGGGGCAGAAGAAGACAGCACCCCTGCTTGCTATTGGCCGGCTTATCCCAGCCCCACTTCCCCCCAAGATGCTGCAGTTGTGCCTCTGCACTTGGATCCCAGAGACCAGAGATCTGGCAGAGACCAGCCCTTCCACTCACTAACCAGAAAACCTTAGGCAAACCACCTCCATCCAGCCCTCATTTTCTTTATTGATAAAATGGGGGTCACAGTTTCTGCCCTGCAGTCAGTAGTCTGCTACTGGTATTGTGAGATGAGAATGAGATAGTGTGAAGGAAAGGCCTTCACAGCTGGAGAGGACAGCGCCTGACTCCTCAGACCTCATGGCCCAGCAGGGGTCTCCAGGGCCTGCCCCAGCGCAGGTGGAGTCCCTGTTCTGATTGGTTGGTGCTGTACCAGTAGTTTGAATGTCTCCCTTCAGATCAAGACAAGAGATCTGAGTTCTCCCAACTTTGCAATTCCTTGCTGTGTGACCACAAACAAGTCACTGCCCCTCTCTGAGCCTGTTTCCCTCTCCATAAATTAAGATTAGATTTGTTTCCGTCGCAAAAATATTGTGAAGGAAAATGTGAGTCAGTGTCCATCAAGGCTCGTTGAACAGACTGTGAAGTGCCTGTATGTAAATTCTGGTGGTTGTTTTTTTAGATCATAGAAAAACGGCGCCGAGACCGAATCAACAGCAGCCTTTCTGAACTTCGGCGCTTGGTCCCCACTGCCTTCGAGAAGCAGGTATGTGACATTGCTGATTGTGGTAGGGGACATCTGTGTGAGTGGCAGAGGAAGTTCATGTATCATGGCATCTCTTACTGATTGGTAGCAGCTGCATGCAATCCTGTGATGTCATTTACTGATGTCTGTCACTGGCCAGGGATAAGGGGAATAGAAATTGATACTTACTGAGGTATCGTGGGTGTTGTGACTTTGTGTCCATTGTCCCATTGAATTGAATCCTCAAAATGATCCTGAAGAATAGGAATTATTCTGCCCGTTGCACAAGTAAGGAAACAAGCACAGAGAGGTGAAGTAACTTACACTGGGTCACACAGCTAGTTAATAGCAGAGCAGAACTGGAACACAGAACTCTGTGATTCTAAAGCGCCCTAATCCTCTACACTACTGGCATTTCCAAAGCTACTGAAAGTGAAACAGGCTGTTCAGGGAGTGAACGGTCTGACATTGAACGTGTCAGGGCGGAAGAACGACAGTGGGAGGTCAGACAGTTGCCTCAATCAGACAGCTTCAAAGACACACACCTGTGCTCCAGGGCACGGTCATAGGTCATGTATATTCTCTTCTGCTGATGAGAACAAGTCAGTCATCCCACAGACGTTCACTGAAATCTTCACAAGACCAGCCACCATGAACTAGACCTGCTACCACCCTTCAGGGACTCACATGGAGAGTCTGACCCTCAGGTTTCACCTGGGAGACCAGGTGATGCTGGAGGCTCAGAAAACATTTCCCAAGAGAAAGAATAGAGGAAGAGCAATTGCTCTTGGAGGCAAGATGATGAGCTGGGTCTCGGGCGTGGTGAGTAGGAACCTGGATCCGCAGAGAGCTGGTCTAGAATGTAGGAATGTCATCCTGGTGATGGTTTATGAAGCCACAGAGATAGACAAGATCCTTTGGGGAGAGTGTACAGAGCGAGAAAAATGAGCCAACACCTACTGGGGACAGCACCATTTTAAGGGACAGGCAGAGCAAGAGGCAAGGTGAACGGAGAACCAAGAAAAAGTGTCACAGGAGTCAAGGGAGCAGAGGTTTCAAGAAGGGTGGTTAGCAGGGCAGTGGACAAACGGGCTAACAGAACTGAAGAGAATTGTTAGGTTTGAAGACCTTGGCCCAAGCAGAGGCGACTGCAGGCAGTGATGGAGGGGGAGGGAGCTTGGAAAACAGACGGTGAGTGCTGATGACGCTGTGCAGGGGAGGTGAGCCACGGAGGGCAACTAGGGGCTTCACTCTTCTGTCTCCTGCACACACAGGGCTCCTCCAAGCTGGAGAAAGCCGAGGTCCTGCAGATGACGGTAGATCACTTGAAAATGCTCCACGCCACTGGTGGCACAGGTACTGATGCTCTACTCTTCTGGGAGTCATTAATGCAGCCAGTATTTGGGGGCTAAGCAGAGGGGATGAGGTCCTGCCCTCATGGAGCTCAGTCTGTACAGAAGCTGAAGCAGGTCTAGTCAGAACATTCGCAAACTTGTCTCCTTTTTTCAGCACCTCCCTCTCCACTCAGTGTCTCCATTTGTCCCAATGCCTTCCTCAAATCCACTCCTTCTCCAACAGACTGTTCCTGCCGACCCCACCCCCAGGGCCTCATTAAGCATTAGCCTGAATGAGCCCCTTCTCACTGGGATCCTGGTGGGAGCAGCCAGCCTGAGAGTGTTAGCACAGATGGTTCATTAGTGTGCCTACCACTGGTCTAGCCTTCCGGGCTGTTGTGTCCTTGGCAGTGCTGGGGTCATATGTCATGCTTACAGCTGAAGATCAGTCACGGGATTGTAGTAGAATACAAATGTAACTCCTTCCGTTATTTTGAACTAGTCTATTACAATACAGTCATGGAACTGTGGCTTTATTTATTTATTAAAAACTTTTTTTTTCTTTATTGATTTTAGAGAGAGAGGAAGGGAGAAGTAGGGAGAGATAGCAACATCAATGAGAGAACATTGATTGGCCACCTCCTGCATGCCCCCCACTGGGGATCAGGCCCACAACCTGGGGATCGAACTGGTGACCTCTTGGTGCATGGGTCAATGCTCAACCAGTGAGCCACACCAGCCCAGCAGAACTGTGCTTTAAAAGACTGCTGGACTGCCCAGCCGGTGTGGCTCAGTGGTTGAGCGTTGACCCATGCACCAAGAGATCACTGGTTCAATTCCCGGTCAGGGCTCATGCCCAGGTTGTGGGCCTGATCCCCAGGGAGGGGCATTCAGGAGGCGGCCAATCAGTGTTCTCTCTCATCGATGATGTTTCTCTCTCTCTCTCTCTCCCTCCTCTCCCTTCCTCTCTCTCTCTAAAATCAATGAAGGGGAAAAGAAATTAAAAGGACTGCTGGACAAATAGAAATTTTGTCTACATGGAGCCTCTCTGTGTATTTTGGTATTTGGTGATTTCTCAACTGGGAAACCTTGAAAGCTCCATGGACCTGGCCACAGAGACCTAAGTCCTAAAACCTTACCCTACTCCCTCCGGAGGGGACAGTTACAATTTAAGTGGCCCAACCTAGTGCCTCTCAGCATGCAGCAGTGTCACCTGTGGGCAGGCAGAGTCGTGGGTCACACCCCAGGGATCTGAGGCAGTGGGTCTGGATGGGAGTTAAGGAATTTGAAAGATTAGGAAGCACACCCAGTGACCCTGATGCAGGTGGTCACTCTGAGGACTTTTGCCAAAGGAATGCACAGCCAGCAGTAGAAACTCGTGCCACTAATCACCCGTGGGGGAGGTAGTTCAAACTACATTTGTGGTTATCCAATTAAAAGAAAAACAGTGACTAATATTTGGGTAGCATTTTGTAGTTTCAAAATGCTTTCACTAATGTTATCTCACTTGGTTCTCACAAAAGCCTTGTGGGTGGGGTTGCTGTCACCCCATCTTCTGGCTACGGGCTAATGGGAAGACAGAACTGTGGTTAGGAGCGTTGGCTTTGGATTTGAGTCCTGGCTCTACTACTTACTAGCTTTATGTCCTTAAACAAATGATTTAACATCTCTATTTCTCAGTTTCCTCATCTCTAATGGGAATAATAAAAGGGTTTTTATGAATATTAACTTAGATAATGCAAATTAAGTGCTAAGTAAGAACTCAACACATACTAGTTGAAAAAACAGTGAACACAGAAAGTGAAGAGATTTACTCAGTCATCACGGCGAAGGGTACAGCAGAGCCAGAATATTCGCTTCCAGGGGGACCTGACTCCCAACATCGTCTCCTGCCCAGCTGCCCCTCTGTGGTGGCCTCAGCTGTGAACCAGGGACTGGGTATTTGCTGCCATAGTCATGAGGCCGCTGCTCACCAGGGCTGTTCTGTGTCTGCCCAGAAGGTGGTGTGGAGAGAAGGGCAGGTATGGAGGGGCAGTGGGCAGCCCCCCTGGTCACTCCTTATTGAAATCAACCAAAGAGAGGGTCCCCACCTGATGGCAGCAGCTGTGGACCAGAGTGGGGTCCTGCTTTCCAGACTGCCCTTTGGGCTGGCGGACAAACTAGGATTCCTGTAGCGGCCACGCCAGTAATATAGATGGTAGCTGCTTTTTAACTTACTGGGCATCTCTGTGCACCATTTCATTTCATTTCACCCTCATAACTGTGTGTAGCAGGTACTGTGTTATATGCTCATTTTACAGCTAAGGAAATTGTGACCTAGAGAAATTAGGAGACTTATCCATGGTCAGGCGGCTTGTGAAGTGGCCTCAGGGTTCACGGCCTTCCCCGAGGAGTGTCCCAGCCCCTGCCCACATCAGCAGGCAGGACTCTCCTCCGCCTCCACCTGCACAGCCCTTTACACCTGGCAACTGTCTACTTAAGTTATCTTGGTCACAGCTTCTTCTGTGCATTAGTCATAGACTGTGCTGAAAACAGTACTTTACAATTTATGCTTCATAGCTTAGTGAACTCATTTGATCCTCACAACCCAGCTCCTCTACCCCAGTAGGGATGATGATTCCCACTTTACAGATGGAGAGACGGGCTCAGAGAGGTGAGGTGACACGCCCAGGTCACGTAGGAGGTGCGTGAGGGAGGCAGGTCAGAACTCAGGTAGTCTGTCCCCAGGCTCATTGTGTGTCCCCACTGGGCATGCCCTCATCACACCTCACTTTGCAGGATTCTTTGATGCCCGAACCCTGGCAGTCGACTTCAGGAGCATAGGTTTCCGGGAGTGCCTCACTGAGGTCATCAGGTACCTGGGGGTCCTGGAAGGACCCAGCAGCCGTGCCGACCCTGTCCGGATTCGCCTTCTCTCCCACCTCAACAGCTACGCAGCCGAGATGGAGCCTTCACCCACACCTGCCAGCCCCTTGGCCTTCCCTGCCTGGCCCTGGTCCTTCTTCCCCTGTCCAGGGCTGTCAGCGCCCAGCAGCCAGCTCGCCATCCTAGGAAGAGTGCCGGGCCCCGTGCTCCCCAGCGCCTCCTCTCTTACTTACCCCATCCCAGCCCTCCGAACCGCTCCTGTGCGCAGGGCCGCTGGCACCGTCCTGCCAGCCCGGAGGAATTTGCTGCCCAGTCGAGGGGCAGCTTCTACCCGGAGGGTCCGCCCTCTGGAGAGGCCAGCTGTCCCCCTGCCCATGACCCCCAGCAGCAGGGCTGCCAGGAGCAGCCACATGGCACCCCTCTTGCGGTCTTCTTCCCCGACACCCCTCGGTGTCAGGAGGTCCCTGGCTTATGCCACCGTTCCGGCCCCCAGACCCTCTTCCCCCAGGTCTGCTGGGCGGCCTGCAGGGGCCGTGCTGTGCCACTCGTGGGTCTCTGAAATCACAGACGTCGGGGCTTTCTGAGCCGTCTTCCCCGGGAGCAAGGAGAATTCTTTTTCCAGGAGCCCTGAGAGTGGCTGTGCCTCTCGGCCCTGCCTCCCAGGCTGGCGGGGGGCGTCTTCGCCGGCAGAGGCCCCTCTTCACTGCTTGTCCCCGCCGCCCCGCCCAGCCCTGCTGGCGCTGTTCTGATCTCAGGCTTGGCCTCACTTCTTACCTGGACAGATGAACCCCTGAAGAGCCCTGAGGCTCTGCCCAGGCCTGTCCTGCCCGTGTCCATGGGCAGTAGGCATGAATTTCAGCTCGGGGAACAAAGCTTTTACCTCAAGAGCACAGTGGCCTGAGGCTGGCTGCTTCCCAAGAGAGATCAGACCCCAGCCAGGAGCAAGGACTGACCGGCTGCAGCCTCCCCAGGCCCACGGGGCCGGGCGTAGTGTCTGCCTTGCTTCTGAGACAGCAGAGGATCAGGCGCCACAAAGGGGTTTCCTGGGAGCGCTGTCTGCCCCTGCCCCCTGTCTTTGGCCCACCCCATCACAGCAAACCGCAGGACAGACCCGCTGTCCACCACAGCCAAGGCCTGGGGGGGGGGGGCAGAAGGGCCTGCTCCTGCCTCCTCCCAGCTGCAGACACCCACCCTCCAGCTGACCAGCAGCTCCCTGCACACGCTGGGAGTTTCCCCGCAGCAGCACAGCTCCGCCACAGGGGGTCTGTCCTTCCCGCCAGGCCTGGGACAGCACTCTCAGACAGGAGCCAGGACAGCAGAGCCCAGCTCTCCGCCTCCTGCACTGTCACCCTCCCCAGGCATGTGGTCCCTGCTCGGTGCACCGTGTGGACAGCCATGTTCCCACGTGATGGCGCCCAGAGAGGAGTCCTCTTGGGACTCAGAACCAGACGTTTGTGCCGCCTGGTTTGCATCCGGCTCGCGGAGCCAAGGCTGCTGGGACAGCCAAGGCCTGTCAGGCTGGCCGAAAATAACTACGGGGAGGGGCGAGAGGAAGAACAGTCGGAGGTGGCCTGGCCCGGCAAGGTCACAGTGAGTCCAGGGCCTGAGAGCCTAGTCACCCAGGATTCCACGCAGCTGGCTGTGCTCAGAGGCCATTGCCTTACCCAGCTCCAGGCCACTGCTCCCCGCGCAGAGGGAACAGATGACCCAGCCACCATTCTCCGCGGGAGAGAAGAGTGGACGAGATCGGGGCAGACCCAGGACTGCCATTCAGCAGGGCCAGTGTTGCCAGACCTGTTGTTAAAATGTAGAAACACACCTGTGCTCGATGGCCTATACCTGCATCCCCCGAGTGGCTCCAAGTGTCCCCACCACATGGCTTTGCCCCCAGAACCCTGTGCCTGGCAGACCCAAGGTCATGGGGCCCTGCAGCCAGCAATGTGTTTGTTGGTGCTTAATTTCACACTGGTTATTAAATACTTCAAATGTCACCCCTGGAAATATTCTCCCACCCTCACCCTTTGATGGAACTACCCTCCCCAGAGGCTAAATTGAGGAGACTCCCTGGGTTCAAAAGTAGAGTTTGCAGAAACCCTAGGGAAAAAGAGCCCTTTCGGAGAAGTAGGGCAGAGGGCAGAGATCTTTAAACGACCCAGAAAGCTCCTTTGAAAAGGCAGATTCCTCAAGGGGGCGTAGAGAGCTCGTCATTCTTTCAGTCCTCAGCTTAGTCCCATCAGATGGCTCCCTCCTGCACCCCTGAGATGCACAGCCTTGGGGCGAGGGGTCATTTGGAGGAGTGGGCGCTGGCCTGGAGTGCTCCTGAGGGAGCCGGAGGGAGGGCAGGGCCAGCAGCAGGCTCCTGGGAATTGAGACGGGAAGGGGCGTGGCAGAGGGTGAGACCAACTCCACCTTTCCCTCTCCTCTTCACCCCCCTTCTGCCCCTCTTCCTCCACCACCCCCCAGGTCAGTCTGGTAGTTTGGTGACTTCCTAAGCCCCAGCATGACTCCTGATGGGGCTATGGGAACCTCACGTCCATGTTCCCAGCACTCAACTCGAAAAGAACCTGTTGACACCATTGCATGAGGTGGAAATGGCCCAGAATGTTCAGCATCTTCGCTGATCTTGGGTTCGTTCTCCCCGAGAGATTGTGGGGAGACTGACCATTGTTTCTGTGGTTGAGAATTTGTATCTTTGGTTCATATTCCCAAGCCTTTCTGGTGCCCCCAACTCCCACCCCGTTGCTGGGGTTGTTGCAGACATCCAATAAAGTTTTTAAAAATTCTTCTGGAATTCTGGGAACTTCTGAGAGATTCTACTTCTTAAGTATCTCTGGAGTCCATCCACGTCTCCCTGACCCCCCCCCCCCCGGCCTCCCCTGGACAGACCACATCACCTACCCCCGGGCCCCTGCCTGCCTAGGTCGCCTCGCTTGCCTCCTGCTTTGTCTCAGCAGCAACCAGAGAGAGCTTTAAACGTGTGAATTATATCACGTTGACGCTGGTTTAAAACCCTTATTCCAAAAATGAAATCCAAGCTTTGCTTCTTCTGGTCTCAGCCTCACTTCCAGCCTCATTTCTTGCCAATCCCAATCTTGTTCCCTGTGCTTCGGCTACCCTGCCCCACTTTCATGGACTCAGCACCCCAACCGCGTTCCCCATCCCAGACTTGGCATATGCTATTCCCTCACCCAGAAGGCTGTTCCCTACCCTTTGCTTGGCTGAGCTCTGCATACCCTCAGGCCTTGGCTTAAAAGTCACCTCCTCAAAGAGGCCCTCCCTGACTACTGTGCTTGACTAGTTAACCTGTCTCAACGCCCCCTGTTCTTTCTCTTTATAAGGAACTTGCCACTGTACATCCACTTACAGGTGTGCTGATTGGTTGACTGTTTCCCCCTCTCCCGGCACGTAAGATCCGTGAGGCCAGGACAATGCCTGGTTCTCTCTTTACCCTGTATCCAAGCCTTGTTCCTGGCTCAAAGTCGGTGTTCAATGAACATTTGTTGAATAAATGAAGAGGGGAGGGGAGGAATCTTCCGGACTCAAACTGCTGGATAGCACAGGCCCCTACAGAGGTGAAACACCCGCTGGTCAGCTTTGGAAGGAGGCCAGAGAGCGAAGTGAGAGCCAGGGCCAGGGGACTGGAAGTTCTGGCCAATGGTGAGAAGGCTCTGGCCAGAGAAAAGTGTGAGTGTGCACATGACAGCTGAGGACAGGCAGGCGTCCCTGCCAGCAGCTTTGCTCTCCTCCACCCTTGGCCTGGCTCTCTCATGCATTTGACTCACAACAGATGCAACAAACATTCATGGAGGTCTGTGCCATGCCAGGCCGGGGATGGCCGAGCCAGAGGTGACAAGGACACTGTCATCCTGAGGGCGTGTACCCTTTCTCTAAGTGAGTTTGGTGAGGTGAGAGTGCAGAGAGGTCTGTTGAAAAGACCGAGCGGGACGCAGGGTGGTATCTGCCTCTGCCAGGGTGGTCATGGGGGAGGGGAGCGCCGGGAGGAAGGCTTCCCGGAGAGCGACTTCTAACAGCATGTGCAAAGACCTGGAGACCTCCTCAAGGTGAGCTCTGGAAGCTGGCTCTTTGTTGAACACAGGCCTACAGCGACAGAGCGAAAGGTAGCTAGTCTGGGCATTGAAACCAGACTTGGTTCAGGCTCCAGCTCTGTCACTTACCAGGGTTATGGCCTTGGGCAAGTTACTTAAAACCCTGAACCTCAGCTTTTTCACCTATAAACAAGGATGAGCCCAGACCGGTTTGGCTCAGCGGTAGAGCATCGACCCAAGGACTAGTGAGTTGTGGGTTCAATTCCAGCCAAGGGCACTTACCTCCATGGCAGTTTGTCTCCGGCCATGGCCGGGTCACACGGGAGGCAATCAGTCGATGTGCCCCTCTCATGTCTCCCCCACCCCACTCTATCTGAAGATAGATGGCAAAATATTCTCCGGTGAAGATTAAAAAAACACACGGATGATACAGGAATCGCTACTGTTAACTGAGAGGCACCTATGTACCAGACATCATGCTAAATGCTTTTCTTGGAATGTTCCCATATTACAAATGAGGAAATTGAGCTCAGTCATCTCTCCTAAGGTTAGGTGAATGGGGTACATGGGAAGCCTTTATATGATATGCTTGGGTCCTATGAAACGCTCAGTCAGTCATAGCCATTCGTGTCATTAATGGAAAGAGGCTGGGTCCAAAGTGTGAACAGCCTCCGTGCTGCGCCGGTTGGGCTTCAGCCTGCAGGCGGTGGGGACCATGGAAGGCTTTGCCGAGTGACTGCCAAGATCAGACCTTGTTCAAGAAACTCCTGTTTGTGGTGGTGTGGACAGCTGACTGAGAGAGGGATATTCAGACAATTCCACCTGTTCAGTGGAAACACCTGGATGCTTTTAAAAAATATCAGTGCCCAGGCCCCAGAGATGATTTAACTTGTGAGTGGTGGGCTCCATAAGGAGGTGCGAATAAGAGGATGTCTTTCCTACTTAAGGTCAATTTCCATTCAGTAGGTGAACTGGAGTCCAACTTGTGAGGATGAAAAGGACTGACGCTTTTGGAGAATCAAAGCAGAAATTAATTTCCACCAGGGCAGCTCTGTCCGCCAGCCCAGCACTCCTTATTTCATGCTCTATTTTGGGCTAACTTCATTACTCTTACTATGAAAAATATAAATTTTTCTTATTTTGTTTATTGTTGATCTCCCTCCCTAGACGGTAAGCTGCAGGAAGCAGGGATGTGTGTGTGTGTGTGTGTGTGTGTGTTATGCATCCTCCGAACCTAAAATAGTGGTATTAGACTTAATAAATATTGGTTGAGTTAATAACAATAGCTCAAATTTATTAAGTACTTACTAAGTGCCAGACTGCTGTTCCAAATACTTAAAAAAAATTTTTTTTAATTCTCACCCAAGGATATTTTCCATTTATCTTCAGATACTGTGGGAGGGAGGGAGGGAGAGAGAGAGAGGGAGAGAGAGAGAGAGAGAGAGAGAAACATCGACTCAAGAGAGACACATTGATTGATTGGTTGCCTCCCTCACGGCCCTGACAAGGACAAGGGACCGAATCCAACCGATGTATAGGCCTTTGACTGGAATCGAACCTTCGGTCTGAGAGCCAATGCTCTAACCACTGAGCAAACCAGCAGGGCTGTTCCAAATACTTTTCATGTATCATCTCACTTCATTTTTCAATAATTTTATGAGGTAAATTCTAATGTCTTCATAGACAGATGTGGAAATTGAGGCATAGAGCTCTTATGGAGCTAGCTAGTATGTGATGGAGCCAGAATTTCAATCCACATGGTCTGACGACAGACCTGAATTATTAGCCTCTCTGCTATGTTGATCTAGAATGAATGATCTAGAATTTAAAAATTGAGTGCAAGATGAGTATTTATTCTACTTATACCAGAAACAATTAATTTTGGAGTCAGGCAGATCTAGGTTAAAATTCCAGATTGTCTGTGTATCCAGAATACATGATTTGGACAAGCGTTTAGCTTCTCTAAATCTCAGAATCCTCACGCAGCCAGTGTGGCTCAGTGGACTGAGCGTCCTCCCATGGGCTGAGAGGTCCCAGTTTGATTCCTGGTCAGGGCACATGCCCAGGTTGCAGGCCTGATCCCCATTGGGGGGCCTGCAGGAGGCAGCCGATCAGTGTTTCTATCACTCTGTCCCTGCCTCTCTCTCCCTAAAAAGTCAACAAAAAAATATTTTTTTTATTTTTTATTTTTCATCCTCACCCAAGGACTTTTTTCAATATTTTGTTCAGATAGAGTGGGAGGCCCTGGCCGGTTTGGCACAGCGGTTGGAGCATTGGCCTTCGGACCAGAGAGTCCCGGGTTTGGTTGCAGCTAGGGGCATGTACCTGCCCCCCCAAAAAAGATGGCCCAGATAGAATGGGAGGGAGAGAGAGAGAGAAGCATCGACGTGAAAGGGGCACATCAAGTGGTCGCCACCCACACGACCCAACCAGGGCCCGGGACAAACTGCAACCGAGGTACATGCCCTTAGCGGGAACCAAACCGGGTCTCTCCGGACCGCAGGCCGACGCTCTAACCGCTGAGCCAAACTGGTCAGGGCCAAAAAAATATTTTTTTAAACTTCAGGGTCCTTATGGGACAAACCGGGAAAACCTACCTTTCATCTACTGAATGTTAGCGATTCTAAACCCTTTTATTGTATTGTATTCATTCTTGATCCATTACTGCCCTCTAGTGGTCGATTAAAATAACAACTTCGGCCCTGGCCGGTTTGGTTCCGCGGTTAGAGCATAGCCTGTGGTCCAGAGAGACCGGGGTTCGGTTCCCACTAAGGGCATATACCTTGGTTGCGGTTTGTCCCCAGCCCTGCTTGGGTCTTGCAGGAGGCAGCCACTCGATGTGTCCCTTTCATGTCGATGTTTCGCTCTCTCTCTCTCTCTTCCTTTCTCTCCCTCCCACTCTATCTTAACCAAAAAAAAGGAAAAATGTCCTCGGGTAAGGATTAAAAAATAAATAAATAAAATAAAATAACAACTTCATAACTGCTATGCTAAATCTAAACCCCTAAATGGTGCAGGCCCAAAGTTCTCAGTTTTTACAAATAAAACAGTCCATGGTTCTTGGTTCCTTTAGTCTCCTGGATCCTATTAGTATTCATAGACTAAGTGGAGGTCAGTCTTCCTCAGAGGAAAACAAGAAGGACTAGCCCATGTGGGTCCCTGCAGGGCAGAATGGTTCCACAGAAATAATGCTCATGAAAAATAAGTTAGCCAAACTCCCCACCGAAACAAACACACACAAAGGGATAACAGGCTCAATAAATTACACAGCTGAGTTTTCCATACTTTCAAAGAACATGTTCTCCTTATGTGATGGTTAATTTTATGTGTCAACTTCACTGGGCCATGGGGTGCCTAGATATTTGCTCAGACATTATTCTGGGTATGTCTGTGAGAGTATTTTTTTTTGTTGTTTTTTTTTTGTTGTTTTTTATCCTCACCTGAGGACATTTTTGGATATTTTGTTCAGATAGAGTGGGGTGGGGGTGGGGGGGGGAGGGAGAGAGAGAGAGAGAGAGAGAGCGAAACATCGATGTGAAAGGGATACATCGAGTAGTTGCCACCCGCACAACCCAACCAGGGCCGGGGACAAACTGCAATAGAGGTACATGCCCTTAGCGGGAACCGAACCCGGGTCTCTCGGGACTGCAGGCCGACGCTCTAACCACTGAGCCAAACCGGCCAGGGCTGTGAGAGTATTTTTGG